GCGGGAGCCGCTGGGCAGGAGCTGAGCGCGGCCGGCGCACGTGACCGCGGGGCCGGGTGCGAAGCGGGCTGTGAGGCCCGCGGGGGAGGGGCGACAAGCGCCACGCCCCCTTGCCTGGGGACAGGGACCCCCTGAGCCGCCGTGCAAAGGGGCGGGGGTCGCCCTGCTCCCTGGGCACCCCCACGCCTGCCCTCCCTGCAGGAGGACAGGGAACCCCTCCACACCAAGAGCACAGGAAGCCCCTCACCCCCTGAGCTCCTCCCTCCCCAGAGCTAGGGGTTTGGGGACCACTTTCCCTTTCCCTTCCCCACTGCCGGGAAATAAGGGATCTCGTGTGCCCCGAGCTCCCTGCTCCTCCCCCAGCAACAGCGACTGAGGCTGACGCTCCCTTTCCCAAGGAGGGAACCCGGCTCCATGCACTTCATTTCCATCCCTGCTATCACGGGGGTCAAAGTGGCAGAGGTCCTGCCAGCCCCACAGGCCCCCTAGCAATGTACTGGCAGGGGAGGGAGAGCCTGAGCCTGACTTCGTAGGTATGTCGGTTGCCATCTGGCCTAGGAAGAAACTCCCTGTGTCACAATAGTATTTGCAAGCTGAGGAAATGAATGTGTGGCCCAAGAAACAGGCACATGCACACAACCATACACACAAAACATGGTTTAACTTATTTCTGTTTCCAAAGATAGCACAAGTCAGGACCTTTGAGAGTTTGATTGAATAGTTAGAAACCTTCAAATTAGGGATGCGAATGACAGTCGACTATCCGATTAGCAAATGGTTATCGGATCGTCGTGACGCTAGTCGACTAGTCACTTCTCCCTCCCATCAGAAAGAGGCAGCAAGGGAGGGGAGAGAAAAGGGTGCTTCATAGTGGCAGCGCTGTGTGGAGCCCAGGGACAGACCCCGGGCTCCACAGGGCACTGCTGCTTTGAAATGCTGCGACCCCAGCTGGCTCCAGTCTGCAAGGGGCATTTCAAAGCGGCAGCACTGTGTGGAGCCCAGGGTCAGCTGGAGACTCCTTCGCTGACCCCGGGCTCCATGCAACACTGCCTCTTTGAAACACTGCAGGGAGCACAGGGCCAGCGGGGGACTGCTTGAGTCCCCTGCTGGCCCTGTGCTCCCCACAGCACTTTCACCTTTGCAGTGTAGCAACAGCCCTAGCAGAGGCGCCCTTATTGACTAATCTAATAGTCAATGCAAATTGTATCGACTATTCAATTAGCCAATTAATTGAAATTTTACATCCCTACTGCAAATCCATGGATATCCGCTTTCGATCTGCCGATATTTAAAGATCTGATATAAATACAATAGTGAAGGCCAACAGCCTGTAAGTGGATCCCCTAGTCGTGATCCCTGGGGATTGTGTTGCATGGCCAGAGCCAAAGTTTAATTTTCCCCTTTGATACAACCATAGCAAGTTTCTGTGATTAGACAGTAAAATCTCCCATATGATAAAGCCCCAATCTATTTAGAAACAGACTTTTCCCCCGAGTCATAAAGAAAGATTTCTGAATGTTAATTAAAGTTCTTAACTTGTACTCCCACTTCATGGAGTCAATGGAACAGCACTTAGTTAGCCTTCCACTTTCAAACAGTTTAAAGCATTTCCATGTTTCTCTTATGGAAACACTCAGCCTGGATATTATGCCAGTTGAGTGTAATTCAATAGCTAGTTGACTGCTAGTAGTATATCTTACCATCAAAGCCTAAGTATTCTATGAAATTGATTAAAGAGCTATAAGCATCATTACACTATACTGTAGTTCAGAATTGGTTACTCAACCCGGGAACAATACATTTTATGTTCAAGAGTTCTCTAAAGGCACTTGAAAAAAATGTTGAGATAAACTTGTAAGATTTTGTGAAATATTTCATCTTTTATATCCTTCAAAACCAGCACTTTTTTAATCCTCAAGATAAATCATTGAAGTCCCATACATTTTATAAGGCCCACTTGCTATTAATACTCCAACAGTATATATCAGTGCAAAGGAAGGATTTAAAAGATTCACCTTTAAGTTTAGATAAATTGCAAAATAGCTCTAGGTTTGCCTCTCCTGGGCAGTCTACATGTAATATTCCACTAAACTGTTTTTACTTTGATTGTCAAAACTGATGGACTTGATCCATTTAAAAATAGTGATAGTGAAATTATTTGAACACAAAAGCAGCCCACAGTGCATATCATGTTCTATATAGTTGATAATAGAATTAGTGCCCACAATGATAGATGATATACAAACACAAAGGAAGGCACTAAAGATTTTACAGCAATGGTGGGCAACCTTTGGTAGGTGGGCCACATGTGGTCTTTCAGGGTTCTCTGTGTGTCCCATGAGACATTTTGTTTACCTTTGTTGATGCACAGGGTTGCCGGATTCTGCTGGTTTCCTACTGGTATTACTAAAGTGACATGCATGTAAAACAAGGGCACGTGAAGGGAGGTACATGCGGTTGCACACAACATTGACTATAGGAGCCATGCACATCCTCTGCATCCAATTAAAGCATGGCTGTGATTCAATTGGCACACCCACAAATTCTAGGCAAAACTACCCAGGAAAATGTCTTGGTTACAGCACTCATGCAGCTCACTCACTAACCTATGTTGCCCATCACTGCTTTAGTCTAGGCAGTGATACTGTCACTTTTTGCAAGAGGTCAGTGCCTGAAGTCCCATTGTTATCAAAGGAGCTCCACATAGATGCAGACATCCACCAAAATGCAACAGGTTGCAGGTTGGTGACTTAGAAAATGTACACACAAGAAAGTGATTCTCATTTGATAACGTGACTGATTTTTGTAAATTAACCTTATGGGGCATTGTTCTTATTGGTACTTTGATTACAGGCTACTTTATGTGCAAATAATTTAACAACTATTAACTTATTTATTGATAAGGCAACTCAAACCAAAGCTTTTAAGTACAATTATTTACTCCAGAAATTTGTGATGTTAGCTACTAAATTGGTAACACCCAGTGGGAGTGTCTCAATACCACTAACGATAAGACCCAGAACTTAAATATATGTACTTAAATATTTGCGTCTTCTGTCTGGTAAAAAAAATTCCGAAAGTACCCATTTAAAAAATATCCGAATTTTCCCAAAGCCTTGCTGGCTGGGGCAGAGGGAGAGGGGAGCATTAGAGGCCTTTTTTTTGTGTGTGCTCAACATCTTTTCCTTTTTCTCAATAGAATTTTTTCTCATTTTTTTTTTGGGGGGGGGGCGGGAGTTCGGTATTTTTTGTGATACCATCTGGCAACCCTACACTGTCTGCAGTCATAGAACATACTTCTTGCAGATTTTCTGAATCTCTTCAGGTTGCGACTGTGTATTATGTAGTAATAAGAGATAGTTGAAGGATACTGGGAGGAGATATGTTGTTAAAATTATATCTTCCTTCAGGTCATTTTAATGAGTTTCTCTTCACTTGAACAGGCATCAGCACCTAAGTGCTGTCTTGCCTTGTACTTTTGTATTGTTAATACTAGTGTCATCCATGCAGTTATAGTTAAGGGTCTGTCATTATTTCCATTACAATCTGATATTTTCAGGATTTATAACTCCAATTTAAAATATCAATTCTGTTCATTTTCATTGAATTCAGTGATCCACAAACTAAAAAAATTCCCTAATGAAGTTTGGACACAATAGACTGTAACACCCCATTATGATCATTATGGCCAATTGTGTGTACAATCTCCACAGCAATTAATATTGTCTGTTACATCATCTGTCTATAAAGTACAACCAGGCTTTTACTCAATACACCAAATGTTCCATTTGAGTCCATCAGGTGAAGAATCTGCATTTATCTTGTGAACAGTATGCATTGTTAAGAAACATTCAAATTATTTTGGGGAGGGTAAATGGAGTATGAATCATTATTAATTAGGGAGTTCTTACCATATGGAATGTAAATGTTTTTCAGGCTTCTTTGTCAAAACAGTGTTACATAAAAAAACAAAGTTCAGCTGTGCAAATTAAGATAAATTGCTGTTAAGGAACTAACAGTGCATGAAAGTGAACATACACCCATTAACTGCTCTCCCTCCCTTCCCCACAAGATCTAAAGTCATTCGGTCAAACTCTGCTCTTAGGTGTTACACAGCAAGAGGACAGTGCTTGGTCCAATAAAAGTTTTTCTTGTGTACAAACTGCACAGTTAGCATTCACTGTTTTTTGTTATTTTGGTATGAGTTAAAATCAGAACATTAGTCCAGATTGTCATATGTAATCCATAATTGACTGTCATTTACATATTTAATTGAGACTCTTAATATTAGTTAAAATGTATTTTAATGCTAATAGCTCTAGCACCTTCATCATCACATGCCATAATATCTCAGCTCTTCAGAGTAATTAAAAGCCTTCCGTTTAGTCCCATTCTTCCATTTTAGGAAGCACCCACTGGTGCTTGAAGTGCTTGTGGTAGCCAACAGTCATTCTGTACATTTTGTACTGCTGCTGCACGTCCCTAACATGGGCCCTAATCCAAATCCCACTGAAGTGATTTGGAGGCTTTCCATTGACTTCAACAGGTTTTGGATAGGGCCTGAGATGCGCCTCCAAAGCAATAAGACCTGATGTATTGAAAAACACTTAACCAGTCCAGAGTGTTCAGGGTGGATTAGGTTTATTATAGCAATGAATCAAGTCGTTAAAG